TGAGCCAAGATGTGTTTGCTTGTAAGAGTCTGTGGGCTACATTGAATGACGAATTAGAAAAAAACAGGATATTAAAGACATCTTCTGTTTTGTACTGTATTCAGATATTTTGTTTGTAATTCATTGAGACTATAACATTCCTAAAAAACATTTTTATATCAGCACTGATGGATAAAGCATGAAACATGCAGTGGGTGCAGAGTATATCCTGTGCAGCTTAATTAAAATTAAAATCTTCAGTATAAATCAAAGAAACGCCGTTGCGTGTCGTAACACGAAAATAAGAATGTATTTTTGGCAAATGAAATACATCAAGCAAGTCATAAAATAGGCCAAAGGTGCTGTCTTCTAAAAAATAAGTAGCCTATATTCTATTCGTTTAAACAACATTTCAGTCACGACAAGGAGCTCGACGTTACTTAGAATTCGTTACATAAACATTCGCGTGATGAGGTAGTTATCTAACTAAACAGCTGGTTCTATATATCTTATATTGTAGATTTATCAGAAATGCAGACCTAGGCTATATAAAATGCAGTGCTTTTATTTAAAATGCATACTAGGGTAGTGGTGTTTCTTTTTAAAATTTCGAATCCATTAATTAATTAAAAGAACGTTCCATTAATGATCAAAGTTACGATGAGGTTGGTGACCAAACAGACCTATTTATCATTATCATAACATAAGTGCTGGTACTGAATATATATTTGTTGTAGGTTTTAGCTTTAGATATCATAAATTCATGCATTTATTTTAAAAATATATTTAAAAAATATTGTTTCTTTAAAAATAAAAACCTTTAAAATGTCAGGCTAACTAGACTTAATAAATCAATAAATAATTCAATCATTTACAAAAAAATAGGCCTATTTAAAAACAAATTTTCTTTTTGAAAAGTCTTTAATTCCCACTCTGCCCGAGACTACACAAAAAAAAATAAGATGCTGTGGTTGCACTTCAAAAAGCTGCTCGCTTCATCATTTTTGTATGGTAGCTAAAATTAAAACCCGTCCCCTGAATAATTCGGGGTTGAAAATCTTTTAATCCGAAGATGAAGTAAACCAGTGACATCTGTATACTCGAACTGCAGCAGAGCTCAATCACAGAGCCTCGCCTCCCGTCAGCTCCACCTTAAAAGGACAGAAAAAAGCACCTGAGTTAGTGACATCGCAAAATGCAGGAGACAAGAGGAGGGTTGGATTATACGTTCGGCACTGGGGTAAGATGCTTAACTAATTATCTTTCCATTGGTAAATCCTCGCGGTTGCAGACTAAACAAGCGGTCTGCCTTCTGTGCATATCGACAGTAAATTTGTCTGCTTGTTGAGAAGGGAAAAGCTGAAATTCTTGCTGTCGTTCAGCACCTGGAGCTGCGCAGGTACAGCGACTCTCCAGGTGGAAAAGAGAGAGAGAGAGAGGCAGAATATGTAAGGGGGGGAAACTGGGCTGCATTTGTTATTTGATACTCAGGAAGTCAGTGACGACGCTTTGACTTCTTTGTCTCATTGAAAAATGCTCGATTATGCGGCGAGAGAGCTTGATAAGTCCGTGTTCACTCATGGAAGCGAACGAGGTTAACTAAACTCCAGCTCGGCGTGGGGTGTTTGGAGAATAAACCACGTCGTTTTTCGATAGCAAAAGCTCTGATTTCAGTCGAATCTGTGGAAATGAGGTAGATAAGAACGGGTTTTAGATTTTAGTTGTTTAAAGCTGAGTAAGAAAAGTAAAGTAGGTAAAGAAGCAGAATGTGAAAAGGGGCATTGGGATTCTGGGATGAACGCATCAGGTAAGCTTATAAATAATTGTTTGAACACAAAAATGTAAGATTGTGTATGTAATTATTGTTGTCTTTTTGAAATACAGAATCTCTGCATGTTTGCATTCGATTGCAATTAATTAACGGGTTTTATGGACAGAGAGGAACAAAATAATTTAGATTTTTAATTTATTATCATTATCACTGTTAATTAAACATTTTATTTTAGATACCGTTTTGTTATTTGCTGTGCATAAAGCCCGTAGTCTCAATGCAGAAATAAGATGCTTGAGGTGCATACACAGCATCCCTCAAAATCGGGGATGATATCTGGATGGATTTCTGACGCATTTCGTTTTTATCAGCATCCACAAACAATTTTTCGTTCTTATTTCGATATTAAATGGTCGCCACTTATTTTTCCTATTTTGAAACATAATTTTGCTTTGAATATTTTATTTATTTGTACTGATTAAATTTTTAAAAGTAGGCTACAAATAGCCTACCTCACTGTTAGCTCATTTTAATTTGTGTAAAAACAGCAATAGCTGTAAAATATGTTGTAATTATTTTAGTTAAAATGGTTTTAGATGGAGTGTAACATTTCAGACCGCAGGGCATGTCTGCTTCCTAAAAGTGGGCTATTTCATGTCATCGGTCCATCTGCACCTTTTCAGGGTGCCGCCTTATTCTAGCAAAGTCTGATTGTCGTCTTTTTCTCTTTGATTTTTCAGTTTGCCCTCAGTCGTTTGCATAGGCTTAAAGAGATTTGTTTAGTAGATACAGTTTTTTTTATTCTGACAACAGAATGAATAAAAAACTAAACAAGTAGGACTCAAAAGCATATACTTATTATAACATAGATTTACTACACAATATTATATATAAAAATTAAAATAAAAACTATCACAATAACAGTAATTATGATTTCAAATATTAAGCACATACGATAATTATAATAAGATGTCTCAGTAACTTTTCAATCACTTTAAAATGTATTATTTATTTGTGTGTTGCTAATACGCGGGCATTTTTGGATGTTTTAAATTTCTCAACACAAAATTCTAAGTGAATATAACAGAATAAATATATTTAAAATACAAAGTAGCATGCCTATTTAATAAAACAACAACAAAAAATGTATATAAAGATAATAGTTTTATGTTTTGAGTAAACAATCTAAGATATCTACAATGATTGTTTTGCCTACAATCACCTTGAGAGAGCACAAGTGGCCCCGGGCGTTGTCCTTTTGGGGGGAGACTGGCAAAATCTTTCCTAAAATAACTGAAGTTCGAAGAGATGCTCGCTAATTAGACAAATGCGATTAACAGGGAGATTTGAGACTGTCATTGAGGTTAACGAGAGGTGCCAACAAACCCACACGCAACTTATTAATGATGAGAAGAAAGATGAGACTGAAATCTTTCGAAAACTTTGGCCGTATTCAACTGAAAAACAGAATGACGCAGTGCAGGTGTTCTGTCTTGTTGAGCTCAAAACAATCAATTCAAGATACCCCGACATTAAACGACATTAAAATATGGTTAGTTTTTTTCAAGCTTAAATTGATTAATATTTGCAGATGTAGATTGAACTAAATATATATATAAAAAAAAAAAAAATAAGATGACGCATGAAGCTGGATTACATAATAATAACAATGATCTGCATTAATATTTTAAATATGTGCTGTTTAATAGTTTATTCAATTAATTTAAATCTTTACAATCAGAGAAATTAACATATGGAAAATTTGATGGCTTATTATTAACTTTTATTTAATAGAATTTGATACAATTTTGCCCAATTTCATGCTCTTGCATTCACAATGTTGGAAATCGAAAATTTAGTTTCAAGCACTTTAGTTTTTTTAATGTTTTGTGCCAAGTCCCCTTGTAAACATAGACCATTAAGTCATCATGATGCTATCATTTGAGTTTTTTTTCATCAAGCAGGGGTGGGGGGAAAAACAAAACGAGCCAGACCAATTTGACTATGCTAGCTTCTCAACTTGGCTTTTTAGAGATATTGATTATTCCAGGAAATTGCAAGAGGAGTCCTGCTCCGGGAGCCATTTGGGCGTCTGAAAAATCACTTAGAACATCATTTTTGATCTGGAATCAATCTGGCCTCCATCTCCTGCAGGAGCAGAGGGAGCAGGAGCTAATGGCTGTTCCTCAGTCCTCCTGGGTGGGGCTGCAGGATTCGTCTATAGGGGAGGAGGGTGGCTCTATATGTCTGGTGGCTTCTCTCATAGCATATGGCATGAAACCAGAAGATATGGGGTCTCGAATGCAGCAAGCTCTCTTGGGTGCTGTGTTTGATAATGTAGGGTTTTTTGCTTAAGGCTAGTGGACCCAGCAAATGGCAGTGTGTGATGATGATGATGGTGATGTCAAACATTGAAGAAGCTGTTGATAGATCTTCGCAAGCTTTAATTGCTCAGGAATTGGTTGCTATGCTTGGACGGATGTTGTTTTTGTGACGTCACTCCACAGTTGATCATCATTTTGAGATGAATCCAGAATTTTGCTAATCTATGAAGATGACCTATGATTAAGCATTAACATAACTTGGTTTAATCTCTTTAACTGCTAATTAAAATGTCTGCTTGAGCACATTATGAGGGATAATGTCAGCAATTTGGTGATTCAGTGGATTCCTATTTCTTTTCCATGTAGAGATAATCCAACAAAAAAAGACACAAAAAGGCTTTCTGGTTATCTTTTATGTGCATTTTTCAAAAGTTAAATTAATTAGTTGATTTTTTGTTTTTGATGAAGGAACCTCAAACAGCAATGTCATAGGTTCAAGGCAGTGTTTGAATTCTTCAACAAAGGCATCTATCAAAGTTTTCCTTTGTTATTTCTGCATTGTGCCTTTCTTAGCTTGGGTCTCTCTTAAACTCCTGTGATACACTTTTGCGTTTCCTTTCTCACTCTCTGTCTGTTTCTCTCCTTTTCCCTATAGGAAGAAGGGTTCTTCTCAACCTCCTTAACCAAATCTCCCTCCCACCTGTACGCTCCCCCATTCCCTACTGTTCTGTCGTTCTTTCATTGCTATTGCCGGAGTCTTAAAGGGTGAAGCTGACAGACTCCTGTTCTGTGTATGGCACTGGTAGAATTCACTGTGAAAGCACACTATCAGTGAATTACCAAAGGGCCATAAACAGAGCAGAGAAAGAACCACGTGTTTGATTTGCTCTCTGGTGTATGGGAACAGATTCACAACTCTTGGTCGAGCTGGGCGCTCTTCTTTGCCTGTTTTGGCACTAGCACATTTTTGCTTTTTTATATATACCTTGAGCAATTATGTGTAGTGCCAATATGGGACAAGACAGACATGCTACTTAAAAAAAAAATCAGCCAATCGCAAAGGACAGACAGCAGGCCGTCGGCGCGATTGATCCTCTCTGAGGCACTCATGTTCTATTTTGAGTCCTTCTGCCCAGTGTAACATAAGAAGCGACCTTTACTGCGGAAAGCTGAAAATTCAATAAGCTTGGATCTTCGGGAACACATTTTCCTTTCAGTCACTGCAGTCGAACCCCAAAAGAAGTTGATTCTACCCAGAGATGATTTGCTCAGATACATTATGGCCTTTAAATGGTGTATCTGCATCATCAGATGCCATGAACAGCCATTACTGGTGGACACTCAAATATTCAAGTCCTCTTGAAAGCAACTGCACCTTTGTCAATCAATGCACTAGATGTGCTTTCGGTAGCATATTTTTGTTGTTGTTGTTGTACTTCTGTGCAGTGCTACAGCTGTGGAATAAAAAGATATTCAGATCAGTCCTTCATTTAAGGGACCATTTCATGACTTCATTCATAAGAATAAAAGCATTGGTGGTTATTGGCATTGATGGTTTCATAAAGAATCTTTAGGATCTATAGAAACGTCCCATTGTCTTTTGTTAGCGAAACTGCTCAAAAATCGACTGACAAAAATACCTTAAGTAAAACTTGTTTTGGGTAAACCTAAATAAGGTTTGCCCAAAAATACGTTGCTTAGAACATCAAGTTACACATGGCACTGAATAAGGGCTATTGTTCTTGATTAATTGTCTTATTTCAATTTAAAGTATCTTTAGTTTAGGAAAAAGTTTAGTATCATTCAGTATGTCCGATGTCTCAATGAATGGCCCATTTCTTCCCCTACTATTTCAAGGACAAAAGGTTCTCTGATGGTATTTGGCAATGGTAGAACTCACACTGGTGAGGTAGTCAGATCCGGTGGTTCTAGACTTGCCAACTACTACCTGAGAACAACTCCACTGTAAGGCATGGATATAAACAAATATAGACAAAGAACTCAGAGCATAATTTCGAATATCAAGGTTGTTTCAATGATGTCACAAGCTCCGCCCCCTGAGCGAGTGACTGTGAGTAGTGCAGGTTGGGCTGAAATTCAAATATTCCCCCTGCACACTACAGTCTCAAAGCTCCCAATGCTCCAGCCATTGATCCGAGTGGTTCACTGACACTAGTCGGCCATGTTGCTTTTCATTCCAGTGCCATTGTGAGTCCTAATGTGTTCGATTAATCATATTAGGCTGATTTCTCTTTTAATGGATGCGATTGTTCAAATAGCACAATGAATTACTTGTATTATATGTTGCTAATCGAAACCCTCTGAAAATAAATGCTCAAAAAGAGTACGAAACACAGCTCTTGGAGAACTCAGTGTGGCATTTGTGTGAAACAGCTTGTGCTTTGTCGCTTTGGTAAAGGGAGAGGCCGGCCCTGTATCTGGGTCAGGGGCTGCTAATGTAGGTGAGGAGAGGATTGCTGGATTAAGTCCTCTTTATCTCCTTTTGCATAAATCTATTCATACAGAATGAATGACAATATTAAAACATTAGCCATCATTGAAGTGTAATGCTACTCCTATAGTGTTAGACTCTCTTTAGATTGCTGCATGTTGCATGCATAAACGGTGCCTAAATAGACAACCGGGTATGTTTGCATGACACCAAATCTATGCATTTTTTGGTCTGAAGATGCCATCTACAAGGTGATGTCATCATCTATTGGGCCTGGGATGCCTAATACTGCTTTTCTTACTAATTTTGGTAGATCTGTGTGAACTTGGCTCACCTATATGCACAAAAGGAAAACAAGTAAACATGGATTCAGTCACATTACGAAGACTACAGGATGATGTAACCAAATACTGGTCAACGAAGAACCCATTTGACCCACTATAGCGGTTACGGCCCTCACTTTTTTATCTAATATCTAAATGCCCTGCAATATCCCATTAAACCTTTTCCATATCAATATGCAGTTCAATCTCCCCCTGTTAGTGCCATTCACCTGTGTTTACCTCCCTTCATCAGCAAATATGCTTATGGGAGAAGAAAGGAACATTGTGTCAGATTCCTGCCGAAGCTTCAGCGGCAGTAATTGCTATGTGGGAAATCTCTGTCCATGTGGGCCTTCTCCAGATGGACCGCCCGGGTCGGGTTACACAGCATTTTTCAGGCCCCCTCCTCTGAACCGGCTACCCCGCTCTCTCATTCAGTGAATAATCCCTGGTTAGGAGACAAAGAAAGAGCATGGCTGAGACAGAGCTCGGTCTGTACTCTAATGTAAAGAGAGCATTAGTGGAATGAGATTAGAGTCCATCTCTCTTACGCACTGTCTGCTGCCGAGGTGCGTGTGATGGTGAGAACATCAGCACTGGAAGAAAGTGACGATCATCATCATGATGATGATAGTGGGAATAATAGTACACCCCTATGCGTCAGAAAGCATTGGTGCCCTTAAAATTCACTTGGTTTCATGGAAAAGATCTAAAATATGTATATTTGCGTGCCATTTAAGAAGATGAATTGATAGTTATTATTATTGGTGCATAGTTCTGAATAATATAAAGTGGCATAGATTATTTTTGAATTATAGTCTGAGTAACAATATGCATAGGGCAGTTGACAGACAGTTGATGATAGGTATAAATCTGAATTGCTTTAAGTAGACAGATAGCCAGATATCTGAAAAATAATTTTGAGGATATGAATAATTATGAGTACTATATCAATCAGACATATTTAATAATTAAGTTTCTGAATAATATTCCTAATGAATACAAGATAGCAGTCAAATAGATTGACAACTAAATCTGTAAATAATGTTAATAATAACTATCGAAATAATTATGAATATTACATTAACCAAAATGGATAGATAGATAGATAGATATATAGACAAATAGATAGACAAATGGATGGATTGATAGACAAATGGATGTATGGGTGTAGTCTGGGTTAGTGGAGAATATAATTCATTAGTTTAGAGCTACTGCTAGTGTGTGAGTGTGTGTATGTGTGCAAGAGTGAGGGCCAGAGGGATGCTGTGTGTATTAAGATACGATTAGCAGAGATTAAAGCTCTGGCCCAGAGTTTGAGCAGCTCCAGGCTGGAGGAACGAGCCCCCTGTGGAGACTGGAGCCGTCAGCCCCATCAGAGCCATATCCTCTCCTTAACACAATCAATATTCCCCTGAAGACGCACTACCACTAGACAGACATTACTGTTTGTTCTAGCTAATAGCATCCCTCATAAAACTAATGAGGATTCCTATACATCGGAGATTGAGCTATAATTTGGGTGTGTTAGCAAACATGCTAAATCTTGCCGTTCCCAACTTTTCTGTGTCCTAATCAGTATTTGTTAATTAAACAAATCCTACATTTTATAAATTGGAAAATCGATAGTAATTTGCAAATTCAAGCGTCTACAAGGCTGTTGATTGGATTACAGATTTTGTCAATTAAGGTTAACTTGAACTAATATAATAGTTACACTTAAAAAAAAAAATGCTGGCTTGTTTCAACCTAAACTTGAGTCAAATATGGACTAACCCAGGGGTGCCCAAACTCAGTCCTAGAGAGCAGGTGTCCTGCAGATTTTAGCTCCAACTTGCCTCAACACACCTGCAGGGATGTTTCTAGAAAGCCTAGTAAGAGCTTAATTAGCTAACTCTGATTGGGGTTGGAACTAAACTTTGCAGGACACTGGCCCTTCAGGACAGAGTTTGGGCACCCCTGGACTAACCCAATCATCTGGTTAAAAAAAAAAAAAGAATTAATCAAAGTTGTTTGGTTTTTCCATATTTGATCCAATGTTGGGCTGAAATAACCCAATATTTTGCCATTTTTGTAATTATACATTACATACAACTCTTTAGTATGACATTAACAGTATAAATATGTTAATTAATATTAATCAGTATTTAAATATACAAGTACACTGTAACATAGACTCTGCAAACGCCCAAAGTATACTTCACTGCATTCATGGGAATGTTATCATATATGCGCATGGATAATGGATGCTCTTCAGCACGGGTGCATGCCCTCAAAACATGACCACTAAAAGGAGTCATCCTTTTCTCTCCAAACATTACAAATCACACAAATATCTGTACTCCTTTCCAACATCAGCACTCAACTCTAATAATGCCATAATCAGTAGCATTATGTTGTCTTGTTCCATGTCTATTTCTTTTACGATTTAGACAATGACCAGGTTTAGTGTTGACCCCTTGTGGACAAGTTTTGCAAAACAGAATTTGCGTCACATTTACTGTGTGTATAAAAAGCGAAGTGTATTTTGGGCCCACTGATTTCGTTTACATAAATATCTTGCAAACACAAAATTTTGCCTAGTGATTGAGCTACACTAGTCAATCTTACGAATGACATCATCACACTTAAATCAGGTACGTAGCGCTTTGATGTTAAGATAGAATTGTGGTTATGTATTAGGATTAGAGCTGAACGCTATTCTGTGAACACGGCCCCGACTGAGGAACAGATTGGCCGAGCACTTGGACGGGACGAGGGCGGGGCCACGGCTGATTCTCAGAAAGCGTGCTAATAAGAGTCCCTTAATCTGCAGCTCACGACTGACGCACGCGTGCACTGAGCATCTCCTGCCAGCTGCCACCATGACCTGGAAACCACAAAAACACAAGGCCTCTGGCTCTCCCTTACACACATACACACTTCCCTGAACTTCCCTCTCGCTTTGCTCGGTTCAGAACGGATGTGGTTTGATGCGGATTAGGCCGTCCCATGCTTTATATCCTTCTGCGATCGTGCTGCCCCGCGCTGATAATCTGGAAGTGGAGTGGGATGCTGGGATGTGCGCTGTGTCTGATGGATTAGTGCATTTCCCTCCTCCTCCCCAGCAGAAGGACACAGGCCTTAAATCCAGGTTTTAGCCAGGAGGGAGGGATCAGGGCTTATGATGCAACAGGAGCCCCATCCATCACAACAAGCTGGAGGTGGGGTGCGGATGTTACCATGTGTTTTTTTGTAAAGAGGTCATGGAGTTTTCGTAATGGGATTAGTCAACTTCATAAAAACAAGTGCCTGATGACTAGTGACCTTGACGTAAAATGGTGTACACAGATTAGAAACTTACATATTGATTTTTGGACTCAAATTTGAGTGCAATATGGTTTGTGTTGTCGGTAATAACCACAGCATGGGTACAGTTTTGTTTCCTAGGGTTAGCAATACTAAGGCTATGTGTTTGATTCCCAACTCCAACACCAGTGTCATAGGTTGGACTCCCAGGCAGAAACCCAAAGAATGCGGGTTCATTTCCCAGCAATACAAATCTTGTGGGATTGATTTCCAAGTCAACAGTAGAGCACGATGTTTGCAACTCCAAGGTTATGAGTTTAATTCCTATTGCTTGCAACACCAGGGTAATGGGTTTGATTCCCAACTCCAACACCAGTCTCATGAATTTGACTCCCAAGTGCAGAAACCCAAAGAATGCGGGTTCATGTTCAAGCAATACAAATGTTATGAGATTGATTTCCAAGTCAAACAGTAGAGCACAATGTTGGTTCTAAGGTTATACGTTTTTTTTCCCCCGTTGTCTGCAACACTAGGCCAATGGCTTCGATTCCCAACTCCAACACAAGTAGAGCAAGGTGTAAAGTCCTAGTTTCAATTCCAATGGTAAGACAACAGCAAGGTTGCAGTTTTGTCTCCAAGGGTCAGCAACACTATGTATTGGATGTATTCGATTCCCGACTCCAACAACAGCGTCATGGGTTTGACTCAAAGGAGTAGAAACCCAAAGAATGCGGGTTCATTTCTCAGCAATACAAAGATCGTGGGTTTGATTCCCAACTCAAACAGTAGAGCAAGATGTTAGTAACACCAAGGTAATAAGTTTGTTTCCCTATTGTCTGCAACCCTCGGGCAATGAGTTTGATTCCCAACTCAAACAGTAGTGCATTAATTCAATTCCAACAATAATGAGCAACATGGTAATGGGTTCAATTTCTAGCAACAGTTAAGTCATGGATTTGATTCCCAACTTAAACAGTAGTGCATTGTGTTAGGCCATGGATTCAATTCCCATGGCCAGAACCAACAAGGCCAATTCTTAGTAACAGTTAAGTTATAAGTTTGATTCTCAACTCAAACACTGTGGCTTGTGTTTGCAACACCAAGATCATAGGTTTGATTCCTTGGGTCAGCAAAACCAAGAATATAAATTCAAATCCTAGCAAGGTCATGGGTTTGATCTATAGATCAAATAAAAAAATTATAGTATTAGTACCTTCAAGTTCATAGGTTTGATTACTGGAAAATGAATGGATACATTAAGCACTGCATCCAATCTCACTCTTGTGAAAAAGATCTATAAAATGCATAAATATAAATGCAAGATGACGAATATAGCTATTTCTTGATGGTAATGTACAGGCATGGTATGAACATAATGACCAAAACAGCTATAAACTTCATATATTTCTGAAGTTTAAAGAATTATAAAGGCACAATGAAGAATAAAAACGCAATTAAGTGAATCCGTAATATAAATGTATGTAGTATTTATATCATAAGAGCATGTTTCTGTAATAATTTCCCAAAGCAGAATTCTGAATAGTGGCCATTTTATTTCCAAGACTGGATAAAAAGGGAAAGACAAAGTTTGCCAATGTCACCATCATTTTGCACCAGCAACACGGGAGGGTTTGGTTTCATCAAACCGTATATATTTTACAAATTTCACATAAAAAGCCTCTCATTTGTGTGAGCTATAAAAATTCGAACCGATGAAGGAGCTGGAAACTCGACAGAGTGGATCACGGGTGGAAGAAACAGTAACAAAACATCCAAAATTGCACTGTAGAAACAATACAAGAGCTTGGGAGATAAAGAAAGAGATATGAATTTATGGGTATTTCACTTTGCGATAACATTAGAATTCGAATACATCCTACATCATATCTAAACCTTTTCCCATGTGTCTTATTCAAAAGATATGAGCGCACATCTAAACAAACCAAAATAAATAAAAAATAAATAAAACATTTTCCCTAGCAGTTTCATAACAGGATCAGTTTCCAAAATGCGGACATACCATGAATATGTAAAGCTCTCTGTTTTCTGAAGTATAAAAGCTGAACGATATGGAGTGCTACATCTTCATCCTTGTCATACTGACATTTATAGCAATCGATTAATAGTACAATTTAGTGAATAGTCTATAGATAGCACTGAGAGTTCTGAAAGTTCAAATCTGTACCGGCAGGAAACGGTGGTCTCATTCGATATACCACATCATTCGAGATCATACAATTTTTTTTTTTACAATGGGAATTATGTGAAATGCATACAAAGAAAACTACATTGTACAGACTTACAAAAAAAAAAAAAAAAACCATGCATATCTCAGTAGTCAATGGGATCTAACACTAAAATTGTAATGCAATATACACAATATATTAATGAAATTATTCAAATATGGCACAAGATGGTTCACAATATATATAATATGTACATAAAAACTGAGGAGAAAACGCATTAAGAATGACCAACATAATGCCATATACACGGGGGAGAAATGAACAAATTGCGCCAGTTTTGAAGGCAGAAAATTTGGACTGAGGTTTTTCTTTTCTTGTAATCGTACAGAAAGAAATAATTGGTAATTCTAAGTATCCTCTGCATTACATTTGTCAAACACCAGCTAAAAAAAAAAAAGAGAAACGAAACTAACGTTAATGAATTTAACACTATGATGAAAATAAGACAACAAATTGGGGGTACAGCGTAAAAAAACAAACAAAATGAAAATGAATAACAATAACGAGACAACCCCTACACACCCCTGCAGACATGAGAACAGGCTCAAATATTATTCTTTACACCATATTCCAGCAGCTACTTCACATAGGCGCTGAAGTTCCTGTCCCGCACACCTGCAGGGGTAGAGTATGTCACTGTTCCAGGGTCACCACTTCCACCGCCTGCCCGTCAAGAGTCATCGTGTTGTCGATTCGAGTCGTTACGGGAGCCATTGCCACCTGAACGGGCCGATTGCCCTGGGCCAAACTGGTGACCACAGTCTGATACATGCTGACTGGAATTTGGACGAGACCTAGGGTAAAACACACAAAAAAAAAAAGAGCCGTTAGGTTTGTTTACAACGATTGCCATGCTTCCTATCTAACTTGCTTCATGTGCAAAATTAAAATGTTTGAGCATTGTCCATTTCAGTTTCTCAACCACGTTCTTAAAGGACAAGCAGCACTGCATGTTTTGGATGTCATTACGGGTCTTTCACACCCATTACAGGTCTTTCAGTCTCTGCTGATGATCTAAATCAGTTGTGTTTGGTTGATGAGACATGGAAAATTCTTCAGGAACGTGGTTGAGAAACAGCAGCTACGTTTCCATCCCCCTATTTGTCCACCGATGTTTATTATTGCAAAGTCATTTATCTTAAAGGCAACTTAATCGGAAAGTTCTACAACATTCGCAAAAAATTCCGCATCGCAGACCAAGCCATCGGTGGATATAACCGCTATTAGATGCAACTGTGATGCCGTCATCGCTGGTTTGGGATGTGCGTAGCTTGTCATTTGAGACAACCGGAGGGAGGGCAGGTTGGATGAGGCCACCTCGGACAGCCATGTTGAGAGTTTGGGGCGGTGCGTGCTGAGGGCCAGCCCTAGAACGAGGGCCGAGGGCAGGGCGACTGCATCACACTGCAATGCGGAACAATGGAGTAATTGAGGCAGCCGCTCCCAGCTTCCATTTCTCTCTCTCTCCCAGTCTCTGACTCTAGGTAAACCCCTCAATCTACCTCTGTTTCCGAACCCAGCTGTGAGTGGAGCAGTCTGGATTACTGCTGCAGTCACAGGGGGGCAGAGGTTGGCCAATCCATTAGGGCCATAAAAAGAGGAAGGTCAGAACTAACAGCGATTGGTTAATGTGTTCAGTAAGTTTTAAGGTTATGTAGGTTACTAGTATGTTTCTGAAGGGGGTTGGATTTGTGAATTAAGTTTTTTTAAAGCAAGTTTTACACTTAAAATAGTGCTAGGATGCACAACTGTCCCAACATCTCAAGTAATAGCTCAAGTTTCAAACAAATCAATCTCATAGTATTTTATGGTTTTGAGATATCTTTTAATACAGACACAGTATTACTGAAGTAAATCATCCATTTTTACTGATTAAGCAAACAAATGAACAATAAATAAATGATTTTTTAAAAATAAATAAGCACTTTTTATCTCCCAGAACTCTTTCACATAAAGTGAATCTCAATAATCCTGTTTAACAGCATTCATCACATAATAAGGCTGATACTAATTATTGTAAATATGAATGATATAAAATGCAAACCGAATAGTTATTACAATAAAAAAATACATGTTTATATAAAAACAATAAGAAATAATGAAAATATGGGGGAAATAATGTTCTGTAATTTAATGTAACTAATATATTTATGTAAAAATGAAGCAACGTACTTATTCTGACCAGTACTAAATATTTTAATAGGTATTTTATTTGATTTGAAAGGGAAGTCTTGGGCTCCCTGCTGAGACTGCTGCTCTGGCAACCCGGCCCAGGATAAGCGGTGGAAAAATGGATGGATGGAAATTTTGATTAAATTATTCAAAAGTTGTAAGAGATTAAATTGCCATCAAAACATTTTATGTAGTGTATGCAGTGCTCAGCATATATAAGTACACCCCTCATAAATCTATCTTAGTAAACCGCTCATAAATCTATCTTTTAAATTCATATTTTTATTAGTTTTAATAGTATTTTTAATATTATATGTGTGCATATACATTAGATTAGTCAGCATTGAAGCCAAATCTGAAGCTTATCTAACAAAATAACTTGTCGGTCCAAAAACTAGTACACCCAAATTTATGTTATGGAAAAATATTAAATACAAATTTTAAAAAAGGAGGGGAAAAAAATCAAGAAGTAAATTTTTTTAATTTGTTGAAATTTTGTCGGCTGTATTTTTTTTGGCAATATTTAGCTTGAATTAAATTGTATTATCTTTCTATTTCTAATTCTGTTTGGTGGCTAAAATATTATTTTAATAAATATATCTGTTTAATAAATCTGTTTTGTTTAAATGCACCAATATATATTGCCTATAACCACTGAGAAGTGGATAAACATATTCATTTTCAAAATGAGGTGTACTCGATGTATCATTTATGCTTACATGTGAAGTAATAATAATGATAAACGACCTGTAATATTTCAGTAAAAATTATGCTTTCTTTCAAAGAAAAAGAGCATCCACGTGTTGCACAAGTGACTGATTTCTTGTAATCACACTGTCTCTCGCATAATTGACCGGGAGTTTGTAAGCATTGTTTTTTCAAGTGAAGTGCCTACAAACCCTCAATCAGTCTGACATTGAGGGCTTCTACCAGATCTGCAGACTGAAAAAAAGAGTGGAGCAGGAAACATAAATCAGTCACGATTACCTCTGACCAGCCACTTCAAAGCTGCACCCGCGCTGCCATTTCACTGATTGAATGAGGTCAATAAACGCCGGCTGTCCGTCAAGTGTCTTGTTGTTGACTGCGCTCTCTCCCAATCCTCCCCATGCCAAAGCGTAAATTAGGGTTAATTGCTCAGCTTAAAGTGAGGGCCTCATTTTGGGAAGAGACGGCTCTCTGGGACTTGGTTACGTATATAGGAAAAGGGATGTACTAACATTCTCTGTACTGGCTTCCTCTAAGAAGGGTTACTTGTGTAAAGACAAAGTTGCATAAAGTGGCATCCTCTTACCAAACACAACCTAACTTCATTCACAAAAAGTTAAGACATCAACAGACGGTCAATTAAGATATTAATTTGAATTAAACTCGTATCATTTTAATATTAGTGTAATGTTTGTTTGCAATGGCCTGTACATTGGAATAGAGCAGTAATATGCTAGTCAGTGGGGTTATATTAAGTTTCTTCCACAACATCTAAATAATCTTGGTGCAGTTTATAAGTTGTTCTTCTCTATTTCTGTCAGACACGGGTTTGAACATGTATAACGTTTAATCGCTCATTCGTATTGCCAGCGTTTTTCGGAAAAGTTACAAGCTACACCAAGACATGTTTAACTGTAACGTCAGCAGCTCAAGGCGTATGAACTAAAGCCCCAATCCTATTGGTCAGCTAGTTTAACACTGCATGCCAAACCACAAAGACTATCCCATGGTATTTTTTACTATTGTTATTATTATTATTTAGGCTATTTATCATAAGTTACGCTATTTATCATTATTTTATAATTCATTAATTATTTATTATATTATTTTGTCTTGTTATAAAAATTTAAAAGGAAAAAGTGGAAAGTATTTCACAGTTTGTCATATTTATGTCCTTTTCATTCAATATTAATAGTAAAAAAGTTGCTTTGATGTCTTCTGTGTAGGCTTGGGCTGTATCCAAATTTTGATTCCGTCAAACCTCCTTGCTATTTTACCTCAGTATACGGTATTACCGTGAATAATAAAACAATTATGACATAAGGCTCAGACAGAGTCACCAAACTGTTGGCTTGTGCCTAAACCATTCAGAAACTGAATACCTTATATGCGACCTTAGATTCGAGCTATTTCCATCCGTTGCAGTTATTAGTTTGTTGCACAATTTGCAAATTACCTCGTCTGCATTTACCGCCTCTTCCTTTCATTTGGTCGAAACCCAAAACACTGCCAAAGTGCAAGAGTTGTGTTCTTTATTAAAACCAGGTCATTTCGTGCGTGACTTGCCATCTTTCCACACTCTTTTTCCTCCACGCTGTCACATGATGACATCCACGCATACGTATTTTTAGGCATTAAATAAATTATATGTAATATTTAGTCTCCTATATGAGTGCATTTTTTAATGACAATATAATGGTACTGAAACCGATACCATTACTATTTTTTTTGGATTGTTTAAGTGTAATCTTGCATCTTGCAAAAAAGGGAATGTCTAGGGTGCGAATTACAGGGGGGTTTGGGGTGGATTGACCCTACTAATTAAGGCTTGATCCCCCTGAAGGACGTCAAAACAACATGTATGGTGACTCAGTCCATTGAAACTGAGAAAAAGTTCACTCCGAGCTGTACTTTTAAATGATAATATTAATAATCAATATAAAAGACATCCATTTGACCACCCCTATAACGGTTCATACCATTGTGAATGCATAATCACACCAATCAGTCCATGCAAGATAAATGTCATTCAATAGTCTGAAACCGGCAGATTTAAAGCACCGATACACACCGTAAGATTTCACAAGATGTTTTCTCATAAAATAGGTATTTGTTTCTACATATTGCCTATAAGTAACATCAAATTAGATGTATTGTTTGCATAGTTTGTCCTAAAGTAAGCCGAAATAGCTAATCAGGTCAGAACACACTAAATAGCCTATCCCACAAAACACTGAAAACTTAAATACATTTAATACGTAAATTAGATGTAATTTAAATAAACACATATATTTGATTCACTAAAGCATGTATTACACAATTAAAATTACCAAAAACAGCTGTATTATTCGCACACTAGGCATGTCCCCTTTAAATAGCCTTTCATTCATATTTAGAATTACTTAGAAATCTAGCTCTCAAATCACACCCGTGGTCGTATATTTGGGGAAAGGCCTGACGCCCATGTCTTTAAATGTAGTCTTAATTCCTGCTAATCAGCTTTTATGTTTGAATACAGCCTATTCTCTTAATGTCATGTGTTTTATAGACCGGGCTTCCCGGTGCTGACAGCTGGCTCTGTGATTAGACTATGCACTGATAATGGAGAGGATCAAAGCCCTTTAAGAGGGTTCCTCAGGGGTTAGAAGGGGGAGGAGTTTCCTTTTGGTCACTAGGGGCAATGAAGTAATCAAGGACACTAGGTAAGAAGGGTCACTGAGAAATGATCAGGTATTAATGAGGCCCATTTTAAAAAGAACATTATGTTCAAATGGATGCCGTGTAGTTGCGTAATGCACATTCTCTCATATAACTGAACTAATTATTAGTGTTTATTATTATATAAATAAATGATGCACTTAATTGATTGCAGGACTAATATTTTAAAGTGATTGCAGTACATTATAATTACTAAAAGGAACAATTTATGACCAATAATTGTGTGCATGAGCCTAAAAGCTTCAATAAACTACTGGTCATTACCTTCACTGCTACATGAGATTGGCTTATTTTGTTGTTTCTGTCAGAATAGTCTGTAAAGGCTCTGCCCCAGCTTATTTACTTTTAAAAATATGTTTTTTACACACTCTCAAATAGGGGCAAATTTGACAAGCTGTGATAAATGTTATGTTGGACATTTTCAGCGGAAACTTACAAACACATTCTAAATGGACACCATGTACTTTCTTAATGCATGTTCCCTAATAAGTGAACTAATTATTAGTGTTTATTATTATATAAATAAATGATGCACTATATTGATTGCAAGATTAATATTTTAAAGTGATTGCAGTGTGTTATAATTTTTTAAAAGTCCAATTTATGACCAATAATTGTTCCAGTGTGCATGAGCCTTAAAGCTTGAATCCTCTACAGTCATTACCTACACTGCTACATGAGATTGGCTTTTTTGTTGTTTCTGTCAGAATAGTCTGTAAAGGCTCTGCCCTTTTCTTTAACGCTGCAGCTCATTTTCTTTTAAAAACAAATGTTGTTTTTTTACACACTCACAAATAGGGGCAAATTTGACAAGCTGTGATAAATGTCATATTGGATATTTTAAGTGGAAACCTTCAAACACATTCTAAATGGACGGCTTGTACTTTCTTAATGCACATTTCCTCATATAAGTGAACTGATAATAAGTGTTTATTATTATATAAATAAATGATGCACTGTATTGATTGTAAGATTAAAATTGAAAAATTATTGTAGTACATTATTACTAAAGTCAAATTTATGACATGCAGTCATAATTATGTAAGAGTCAAAACTGACACATCATAATTAAAGTACAGCACTTAAGACACATTTTTGATACTATTCATGCTTTGCTGCATAAATCCAATTTTAGCATTTTAAAAAAATTTTAAGTGATATTTTCTAATTTTTTTAGTTTATTAGTTTAACTGATATGATGAAGTATGATACATTTCTTGCACTATTCCTGCTTTGCTGCATACATTTACTTTTAGACATTAAAAATATTACAATTTTTTACATTTAAATACTAAACTTTTAGCATTTAAAATCTTTTTTAAAGTGTTTATTTTCTAACTTTTTGATTGATTGGTTTCACTGCTATAGAATTGTTGTAAATTTTAAATGATTTGCTATCCGATAACACTAACATAACATAATATTAGTATAACATAACATTGTAATAATATTTTCCTATATAATTTAAGTAGCACTTTTACGATTAGGTTCTATTAGTTAATTATAACTGAGGCAATTTCAAGAACATATGACAATCAACAATAGTTATAGTATTTAATCATTTTTTAGCATTATTTACTGTTAGCGCATGTAAGCTTACAATATAAAACAGATAACTGATTATAACAGTTTATTAATATTTGTTGAAATTAACATTGACATGATCAATAACTGCTTTAAGTGTACATTTTTTATTAGTTCACCTCAACATTGTTAACTAATGTTAATGAATAAAGAGTACTGTATAAGCAGGAATCCCAAAGATATTTGAAATTCCTTTTTAAGACTTTTCTAAAGACCTTCTCTGAATATTGTAAGACCTCATCGCCACTTCCAGTTCTAAACAGTATCAAACCTTTAACTTAATAAACAGTTGTAGTTAAATAAATCAATGGAGCACAAGCATGCAACAGAACTCAGATAAGCTCGGAAGAAACAAAGCTTTAAAGAATAAATTAAGTGGCTGTTTTCAGCGACAGGCTTCAGCCACTGTTTAAACTCGTCTTTCTCCAACCAGGAGTAAGCAAACTTATATTTTCCCATTTTGCAGTCTGTTTCACTCTATGGTTTTGCTACATGCGGAGAGCATCACATCACTGTCCAGCGTTTGTTGCAAATTACATCTCACGGATGGAGGAGCTTGGCCGGAAATGCCAATCGCATGGAGTGAGCACGCCATTGTTAATATAAGGCGGAAAATAAATATATTTATGCTTTTTTGGAGTCAAACACTTTGGACAATGCTTGAACAAAAATTTAAGACCTCGAAAAAACACAAGTAAGACTTTTTAATACCTTTTAAGAATCTTAATTTTCCTCATAATTGATTTATCAACTTATAATACTTTTTAAGACTCCGTGGACACCCTGGAATAACACCTGCTTGTAAACTGTAACATTTGAATATCAGTGGGCAATGATTTATGTAGTCTTAAATCAAAATTAAATTGTTTCATTTCCACTGGCATTAGAAATCACCAATAGATAATGAAAAGACTTAAATCTACCATAATTTCCTATCTCCCTTCAATCTATCTTCGTGTATCATGTCTAAAAGAGTGAACACGTCATCCTACACCGTCACAAATGCCTCCAGTGCACATTAGCGCTGCTATCCGACAGAAACACGGCTTCTAATGCATGTGTAAGCACCAGTTCTGGAGTCTGCCGTGCATATGCAGAGCGCTTAGTGTTTGAGGCAAAGCGAGGATTAGCGTGAAGTGTAGAGGCTGGAGTCTGTGACACAGGTCACACACACACACACACCATCTGTCCCACAAACACCCCAGGGATTAAAACAGACCTCTGCGGCCTTCTTCGTGCTCTCACACACCTTACAATACATGCGTAACATCCCTCCACATACCTACACGTATGATGACAAAAGTGGATGTTATGCATTTATGTATTTTAGTAACACCCAGCGAGTGTATATGTGATTGTGTGTGATGTGTAGAAGATGTTTGTACCACTGCCATCCGGAACTCCAGTTAACGCTCCGACTGCAGCAGCCGTTTCTCCTGCTAACACGATCTGTCCTCCGCCTTGAAGAGTCGCTTCTGCTAATGTCGCTACTGCGTGAGCTGCTGCTTCACTGTACACACACACAAATGAAATAAGAAATTAGTAACATTGTTTTTTTAAAGATACAATGCTTTATATAAGGGTTGAGGTGTATTGATTAGTACTGGCGTGTACTGCCCCCTAGTGTAAGAGGTCACTCTTGGGAAAAAAATATTGTTCTGAGGGAACAGAAAATAATAATCGCTGTTCTACTTAAGTTCTTCTGACCCTGGTGATACCATTTTGAAAAAAAAAGGTATGAGAGTTTATTTAAAACAACATACTTTGGTTATCCATATTTATGACATTATTATGAGAAGTCAAATGGGTAAATTCAAATGAAGATGTCAATTAGGGCTGCACGATAATATATCGTTTCAGCATCAATAATCGCAATGTGTGTGTCCACAATAGTCACATCGCAAGATATGAAATGCTGAATTGGGATTATAGTTTATCAGCAACAGTTAAGAATAAGGCATTTCTACATCGTTTTAAGCATTCAGGCGCAAAAACGCAAATTAATAACTATAATGAGGAATTATTTTACTGAATTAATATACGATGAAGACTATAAAGTATTATTTTACATTTTAATGTTTTTTTCCATACATCTGGGGTCACCAATCTCATTCCTGGAGGTCCGGTGCCCTGCGGGGTTTAGCGCCAACTTGCCTCAACACACCTGCCTGGGAGTTTCAAGTGTACCTGTAAGACCTTCATTAGCTTGTTCAGGTGTGTTTGATTAGGGTTGGAGCTAAAATCTGCAGGACACCGGCCCTCCAGGAACAAGTTTGGTGATCCTTGCCATCGTCAATACTGTTTGACTCTCTGGAAAACCATAAAGCCTTGTTTGTTTTACTTTATGTTTTTTGTTGCTCTATTGAAATTATTTTCGCTTGCAATTTGTTTATTTTTATATAGGCCTACATGATTCACACCCTTAGAAAATAATACTAGTCAATCTAAATTAACGATTTCTTTCTAAACTTAGCTATTCATGCCATCTGGTCAAATTATTTTCATATAGCAGAAAAATAATTTAAAAATAAAATAAAAGATTTTTCCAATATTGTGCAGCCCAATATCGTAGCAATTTGGACATGATTCTGTGATAAAAATTATGAAAAAAGGACATGGTTGTAAAAAAGGACATGCTAATGCTGGATTCCAGCTGACATGATATGCTATAATTATATCATTTATGGTATAGTGTCAGTTTTAATCTAAAGTGAAAATTATGAGGAGTAATTATGATATACTAATGTGCTTTCACACCTACACTTTTGTTTTGGAACGTATCTCGTTTGCCCAGTTAGCGCGGTTCGTTTGGTATATGTGAACGCGATCTGTTCCGCGCCAAAGTAATCGCTCCGAGATCGCTTGAATGAGGTGGTCTCGGCTCGATTGAAACGAACCCTGGAGCGGTTCGATTGTAGTGAGAAAACGATCCTATCCGAGCGCGGTTATGTCACAGTGTTTTATGGATATGTAATAGGCTTACGGCTATATGAAAAGAGAATTATGAGTGGGGTGGGAAGTTTCGCGAGTCTCCGTATGCCCGCAAACAAGTGATGATCTCCCGGTAATCTCGCGTCTCCCTCCAGGTCCTCAAATAGGCAGTCGCGCACCCTTCTCACCCCTCCCCACCGCATCTCTCCCCAGACACGTCGCGCGCATGCACCCTGTCAATCACCACCAAACTACCACCTCTCCTGACAGCTTAGCGGGACGCTGCAAAATAAACCCTGACACTGACCAATGTGAGGAGAGTTTACTCGCACGTGACGCGTTTTAGCTCTTTTGGTCCGATTAGAAACTTTGCAGTGTGAAAGCGAACCACTCCAAGAGCAAAGAGCAACAATGTAACAATTGTAATCTCTGTTTCGGAACAACTGAATCGATTCACAGGTGTGAAAGCACCCTAAGTCGATGATTGAACGTTGACCAAGACAAAATTGACAAGTCATAGAAAGTTGAGATGATGGCATATTTATCAAATGAAGTGTCAATATCGACTTTTAGAAAAATATTTACGGTCATGATTATGCGAATAAAGTCAAATTTAGTTTCACTATTAACTGTGACAACTTCTACTTAATGTCAACCATAAGCTATAAGGTAAAAATTAGGAAACGAGACAATTCATTATGACAACAGAGTTTGATTTAAGGTGATGCAGACAACTTCCAATTAAATACAATACATTTTGAATAAAAGCTAGAAACTGACTAAAGAAATAGACCAGTTTACCGAATTTTCATTGAAAACATGATTTTCCCCCGTTTTGTGGTGAAAATTAGTATTTGAGTAATATATCAAATAGAGTCCATGTTCTCGTTTGCATGTACAGTTGTCCTGACAGCGCTAAGAGAACGGACATTAGATTTACTGCTTTAATTTAGACTGCTGAGCAGAAAACAATGCCTTCTCAGCCTAATTGTTGTGGGACTGGTCTATGAAGCGATTGTTCCTGCTGTGTGAGATTTCTAGCCTGCTGCTGTAACCTGCTTGTGGTAAACAGAACAGGCTCAGGTGAGGCCTGTTAACAAGACCCCGGAGACAAAAACCTGCGCTTCAGTATTTCCTTTCTCTTTTTTTTTCCTACCCAAACTTCAGTGCTCCCTCCAAGGAGTACCTGTTGAGGGCCATGGTTACAGTTGCCCCGGTTTGCATCTCTTGCGAAGCTGCAACTGCAGCTTCGGCTAAAGAGGCCACAGCCTGCGTGGCCTCTGACGCTTGTGTGGTTTGGATGGTCATCTCGCCTCCCTGAAGTGTGGCCCAATTCTGCTCCACCTTAAAGACAGAGGGAAAATAGGAGATGTGAGGGCAGAAATGTGAGGTTATTTATTGCCACTACATGACAAGATCAATAAACATGATAAGAACATCATATTTCAATAAGAGATGATACACACACAAATATATAAATAGAAATAAATCAATAAAATTCACAAAACCTGTATATTAAAATTTAAACATGATTTTTAAATTTAATATTTGATAGATAACTAAAAAGTCTTCAGGGTAATGTAAATGCATAGTATTTGTGTATAAAGATGCAATCTAGTGGAATATTAAGGTAAGAAACTGTGTGTGTTAATGGTACCTCTCCATCCGTCACTGTGGAGTAGTTCACCTGGGCTACTGTCACTGTGCCAGGCAATTCTGACGCATCTGCCAGTGTCGCTACTGTAGCTCCAGTGCCAACCTGTTGATTAGTTATGAATTTTATATGTTAGGACATGGTAATTTGAACAAAGTTTTAAATTTTAATATTGTAATCCATGCTTTATAACTATTTATAATATTAGCTTAATTATAATACTTTTTAAAATGGTCAATTCAAAGGCATCTCTCATGCTCACCTAGGTTGCATTTATGTGAATAAAAATATGCTCAAAATAGTACAATTGTGAAATGTTACCACAAACTAAAATAAACGGTTCTCTATTTCAATGCATTTCTGTGAATATCATATTATAATGCTCCTCTTCAGCATTGCACGATTCTTCAGAAATCCTATTATATCAAGTTAATTTGTTGATGATAAAAAATAATTTATTTGGGCAATGTAGAAAACAATTGTGCTGCTTAGAATTTCAGTGTAAAAAGTCATTCCTTGATGCATAGATTTAAAAGAACAGCATTTATTGAAATTGTTTAACAGTATAATTACTTTTACTGTCACATTAAACCAAATTAGATTGTGTAATATTATTTTAATAAAAAACACTGACCCTTAAACAAGAGTATATACTTTTGGAATGGCAATAAATTAGAAACATTAGGTGTTTTAATAAAACAAATAGTAAATATGTGACTTTTCAGTGTAAAGTTAAGGTCAAAAAACAAACAAAAAAAGTGGGAAAAAAACAAAAACCCATTTAAAAAAATCTATTATGGTTTTCTTGATTAAAGTGGAATGGATTAGAAATGAATGAATAGCAAAACTCCATTTAGATCTGCACAAATCGCATCAGTTTTCTTTTTTGAAGCACTAAGCATTAGAACCAATCACACATATTTGCCATTATTACAATATTAAAAGTAATAATGGTTTTGTCAGAAAATATAAACCTTTTAATGAGCCCCATAAAAAAATTTTATTCAAAGTTTGAAGAATTCTGATTGACATTAGGCAGTTGGTTAAACTAAAATATTGACATAAACAACAGACACAACTATTACACGATTACAAAAAATAGATAGAAAAGTAAAAGAACATATTGATATGATTGGACCACAATTAAAATATTGCTCTTTAACGGAAAAGTCCTAAACATTTCACACTCTCTTACTGTACTGTACTCTAATGTTCCAGTGCAGCTACTGTACAGCGTAGTGAAAAACAAGTGTGCAGTTGTTCCCTGTGCTGGGACCTGAGCTCACCTGTATAAGTGAGACTGTTCCATCAGGATTACTGATCGTCTGCACTACCGTCTGTGACGGCACCAGGTGCGCAATGCTGTGTGTGGCTGTTGTGGCAACTTGTGTGGTGACCTGGTCCTCAAAGGCATAGAGCAGGTCTTCTCTCCCATGCTGCTTATAGCAGTTTTTAACGATAGTCCTCAGGGCCTGCGTCCATGACACCTGTTTCCAATAGAAATAAACCCTTGGTAAGGCAAGATGATGCAAGCTTGAGCTCATTTGTTTTAATTCAGATGTCGTTGATGAAAAGGCATGACAAAACGATGGTGTGGCTTATTCAATTATTAGCCTGTGGCATCAGTAGGTGTGTAATATTTTACCATTTATGATAATACAGTAATTGTTTTAACAGTATGTGAGCTCAAAAACAAGATTATTAGTGATTGTAGTGAAGCCTACAAGAATGCAGCTATTAAGTTTCTATAACTATTTAGGAAAGTGCAAAACATCGCTTTAATTTTTATAAGATAACATAGTAGTGATATCACATAAACAAGAATGCCATTTTCTTCAATAACCGTGAGTGAGCAAATGTGATACTGAATTTACAGAAAACTTTACACTTTTTTTTTTGACAAAATATTGACGTGATTTTCCTGTCTCAAGAAAATTACTTCCAAAAAAAGATGGTAAAGAACAAGGTGCTTCAAAAATGCAACACATTGCAGTGTTTCTTCCCTAAATGGATACATTTTCAAATGAATCATTTGAGTCATTGTTTAATGATTCGTTCAAAAAGTCTTTTTCTTCATGAATTATTTACTTAATTCATAAATTATAAATGATCAAAGTAGATAAAAATCTTTTCGAAGTTCTCAAAAAAAGAGAGAATAATCTCAAATTATGTCTTTCCATCAGGTTGTTAGAGCAGCTGACTGTAGTATTGGTAACCTAGCAACCAACAGTAAACAAGGCAACTTAGTATAGACAATTTTGAGGGATGTAAACAATAACAATGGTTTTAACGTACTTTCTGTTTTACAATTTTAATTTCCATAGCTTCTGAAAATTCAAAAATGGCCACTTGTTGATAAATAATATCATGATAGCTGCTTTAATGTCAATTTATGATTGAATTGCCTCTTGTTACAGTTAGGAAACAGTTTAACAACAAGCAGGAACCATGACATCACCACATTGAAATGGACTATAATGGAGTAACATGGGTGTAATGTTTATTATGTTGAAGTTTATTCAACAAATGTGTTTCCATCTCCCATTAAGTCTTCTTCATATCAACACAATGTATATATGTAATATATATGTACTGTTATTTTTGCTAATTGGTTCCAGGTTATGATTCCTGTTATTTTTACACAATGTTTATAGCGTCGTAGTGTAATCATCTAATACTACCCTCTGTTTCTGCTCCTCTGTTCGGACGTCACTGCGCACGTTGGCCCAGGGAATGTCCTCTGGCCACCAGATGGGCTTGCAACTCTCTTTCCCCCAGCCGGGCTTCCCTCGGCCTGTGGAATACTTCAGCATTTCTGGAATGAACGCTCGGAGCTGGGCCTGCAAACCGTCAAAAATACCGCACGATGACCGACAGAAACTTTATTGTGGACGTAGTAGAGCACATGATGGCCTCTGGGAAAATAAAATCTGCGTTAAACTAAATTTGGAAACAGCGAGCCATTGATTTCCTCCTCCTCCTGCAGACAGTCTGCCCGCATAAATAGCTTATAAAAAGCTAAAAGTAGACTATTAGGTTTCTATTTAAAGGTTAATCTATGAGCGAGGCTCCACGTCCCATTGACTACTAGAGATTAAGTAGACGAAACAGAAAACAAAAACAGTGGATGCATGAGACCTCGTTCAAGAGCATATGGTCAGTAAAATTATTATTTTTTAATTAACAACTTTATGAAATAGTACATGGGTAATAAAAGAGTGAAAATTTTGAATTAAAATGCTACAAACGTCCAAATTGCAGCATTTTTGGAGTATCAAGTCATATTACAATGATTTCTAAAGGATCACACAGAATTAAATGTTGTTCTCTCATGTAATTACCTTTTAATTGTTAAAAATAATACTACAAAAAAAATCTATAGAATAAGGATTTTCTGATGTCTTTATAATGTAACAGCAAAAGTGTGCTTAAACAGTTGGAAGGAAAATAATGAAGAGTAAAAAAGATTCAACAAAACGTTTTCTGTCACATTAAGTTTGGTTTACATGGTTAAGTTACCTACATTACAATAAAAGTGTTAATTTGTTTATATTTGAGTGGCCATTGACAGTATAAAGCCACATTGAGTTGTATGGGCGTTCATCCCAGTGCCCCCGGTGCCCTTGGTAATTGCGTAGGCAGGACGGGGATTGAACTGCAGTGCTCTGTAGCAACGTCTGTTCACCTCCACATCACAGGCTAAATTTGGCTTGGAGGAATAAATCAGCTCCCAAAAGAGCTCAGTTCCCTCCCTTCTGCTCTCGGTGTCACAAACACAAACACACTTCCTTTAAGCCTGACATTGGACAGTGACAGACAACAACATGGCGAATGGATGGAGTAGAAAGATTTCAGGGAAAGAGCTATCATTATTTTCTTTTTTTCAAATACAACTAAAGAATAGAAATGTAACACTGAAATGTACACTGTTTTTTTTTTTTCAATTAATGTCCATAATGCTTGATTTTTGCACTGCAGTCACAAAATTGTTTAATAAATGTTATTACTTCTAAAAATAAATGGACAGAAGTTCCTAAAATGAAAAAAATAAAGAACGCAAACAATAAATTGTCTATCTTTCTATCTATCTATCTATCTATCTATCTATCTATCTATCTATCTATCTATCTATCTATCTATCTATCTATCTATATATCATGAAGCATTTTTCATTTACAAAATAAAACATAAAAATAAACCTTTTTTTTCATTTTAAATGTTAATATTACATAGCTAAAATGAATATAATTTATAGCTACATAACATAAAATGTAAATAGTCGAATTCAATTAAACCTGAATTTAAAAATACCACCGTACAAAATGACAACTGCTGAAACCTAACCATATGTACTCAATAAACGCTGATAAGTAAACAGTTTAATGTCATTTAACAGATTGTCCACGACACTGTCTTGAGTTGTAGGCTCTTCCTTGTGTTTGTGCAGATGGTCTAATTACGCGGCGAAGGAATTAAGAGGAATCTCACGCCCCCGTTTCCCTCCCCCTGCTCCGCTCTTAATCCACCTGGGAGCCAATCAGAAAGCTCTGTGCCCGGCCACGATGAGACAGATAATTACTGGCGCGTACAAGCTTCACCTGATGATCCCTGCACAGACCTGCCCACAACCACAAGCCAAGCAAGGTGTGCCTGTCCTGAGGGACACCCGCTAACAGCACACCTCCAGCAAGCTAATGAGAAATAGGTGAGCTGGTAAAGCTACTGGCTGAACTGGTTATGATTGGAGATGCACCGATTGGCTGGGCAGAAGCTGAAACAGGATGGTTTTTGTTTCAAACTTGAATCTTTTTTTGGAATTTGAACAATCTCTGGCCCGGACTTGCACACATTTAACTGCATTGCAACGATTTCATACTATAAAGTCTATAAATGCACAAGTGCAACACAAGCATCCACAGTAAAACACAAGATATTCAGTATTAACTTAAAAAAAGTAACAATTATTTGTTAGTTTTCCTATTCTGCCATTCAGTGCTGCACTCAACGTTAAAAGCTTTGTAGGGATAATATTTGTGTGCTTGGCTGGTTTTTATTACAGCTAATATTAGGCGATAGCTCTGGGGCTTTACGTGTTTTAAAGTCATGAACAAATTAGCAGGATGTGTCAATTTAATCAGTGATAATCTCTATTTAAAGTTAGAGTAAACATCTGTACTTAATGTCCTTTGTTTTATTGTGATTACAGTGCAGTGATTATCTTTAATTAAAAATCTCAGTAGATAGTTGAGCTTTTAATAATGCAGATAGGCATTTTGTTCATAATACTGGTATTTTAAAAACAAATCTTGTTTCAAGTTTGAAAAAATATCAGAAATGTATATCAGAATTCTTCAATTTCCTTGTAAAAATATTGACAATCAAAATCAGAGCATCTCTAGTTATGTGGCTTCATCTTTGACCAAAAAAGAAGGTTAAAGTGATGAATGTAGAATGAAATGAGACTAAAACCGAGAAGTTTGACTCCTGGCTCAGAGCGCCACCTGCTGCCCACCTGTGTCATCTTGTCCACAGACACTGGTATCCCATCAATAGTCAGCGGAGGAAGTTCAGAGCTGAGTTCTCCTCCACCAGGGGGTGCGTGTTCAGCCAGAGCGTTTTCCAGATCCTCCAGAATCATGCTCTTGTATTTCCTCACCTGATTACATGACATGCCAGATATTAAATCAGAAACAACAATAATAGGAAGAGGGAAAAGCCCAATAAATATACTCACCACATTCTCCAGTGGTGCCGCTCCAAATACTCTAAACACAGGATTTGGTTTAGAGGGAGATATGCATAAAACAATAGCCTGCTGGCCTACCCGTGTTGTGTATTCGTCTAGAGTTGCTCTCAGCTTCCTGTGGATATAATGAGACTCATGGTGTTACTGTTAAATTAATTTAAGGATTTAATAAATGCTTCATTTTGTAATTGGAAACTAAAGTTATATCAAACTAGATGCTGTTTAAGTCAGAATTATTAGCACCCTGTTTATTTTTCCCCCAATTTCTGTTTAACGGAGAGAAAAAATGTTCAACACATTTCAAATCATAATGATTAAATAACTATAATACTATATATATATATATTATATTATTACAATATAAAAAGTATATTTTTGCAACAAGAAATTTAAATTATGTTGTCAAAGTCAAAAATAAATGTAAAATGTAAATGAAAAAACAAATTTATAACAACACTGTCAAAACCCATTTTAACATATAGAAGTTTTGGGTAAAGAAAAATGTAAATATAAGATAATAGAACCAAACACATTCAAAATATAACAAAAAATATAACAAATTAAAACAGAAAAACAATAATAAAGACTAAAATATTGGGCATTACAATACAAAAACAAACTAATAATAATATGTATGTTGTTTTATTCATGATATATTATTTTTAATGAAAAAAAAAAAAGTTTACCTAAGCAGGCGCGTCTGTTGTCTTTTACGGATTGAAGGATTTGATTCAAAGATGTGAGGCCTTTTACGCTTCTTTCCTGTTGCCACAGCGGCAGCTGCTGCCATGCCAACAGGCCCTGAAAAAGAAAAATCAGCTGTTTTTAGACATACAGTATCAACCAGAAAAATCATTTTATAAAACCCCTGTTCAATCTTGAATGGGCTCTATGCACACCTAGTGTTTTTCAGCCAAAGATAAACCTTCGGTGAAAGCTTAATGTGACTATTTTCAATTTCACAAGGTTACTTTCACAGCATCGACGTTGTAATGTAATTACAATACATTCAGTTAAATAGACTTAAGTATTTATTTAGTTGTTCAAGCGTAAATTGAGATGAACGACCGAGTAGCCCTGTCAGGATCAGCAGGCTAGCGCAGAAACTCCATTGAAAATAATGGAGTGAAATAAATTGTCATATTTTAAAGGCATGGCAGTGGGAAATTGAATTTAATGCAGTGCTTCCTGTCCGGACTGAGACCCACTTTATATTGTATACCTATCAGGCAGTGAAGATCGCTGATTTTTAAAGAAATCAGATCTTAATTGCGCCAATTTTGTAATGGAAAGACTGAAATCTCTAGGGCTGGCAAGCTGAATATTAAAAGTCTGTGTGCATATAGCCCATTATAGGACTATTTATGGTTTAAGTGCACCATCTAGTGGTCTGTCTAATCACTAGCAGTCACTGTGCTGCTATTTATGACCAGTTTAGTCATATCATTTATTAAAGTCAATAGTCATTAGTGTCTGAATTTGCTGCATCCCACACACCAATATTTTAGCCAATCACAAAAGAGAAATCACTGTCTGACCATCAGAGAATAACCATGGATATGACTTTCAACAATATATTTGTGTGTGTTAGTACCATTTGTTCGCTTTTGGCATCTGATTGAGCCTTTCAACCCAGAATCTGTGATGCATGATATATTAGACTAACTCAAACAAGTAAATTTTCATAAGAGGCAGCATGTGCAGAAATCTACCAGCAGCAGCCAGATGTGCGGTGACTTCATCTGTTCCAGTTGAATTGAGGATGTCGGAGTCATCATAAGCATCATCGTCAGGCGAGGAGGGCGAATCCTCGTCGGCGCTCAGCATGCCATGCTCTGTGTATGTGGCGACGTGCACCTGCCCGACCTGCTGAGAGACGGCGTGGGCCTCGATAGTGGTCATATGCTCCGTCTGATGCACCGTATGGTCTTCCATCACCCGATACAGTTTCACTCAAACACACTGAGACACGCACACACACAAACAAGATATTAGCACACAGATTGACTTGCGTTCATAGTTGTATTCAAGTGTCAAACTGAGTATGTTGTGAAGTGTTAGGCATGCATTGTAATTTGTATTTTCATTTAAAATACACATAAAATATGAGACACGTTGCATTATATTATAATAACAAACTCGCATTTTACTAATAAATATATACTGTGAATCCCTATTATAATGTATACCGTTAATATGACGCGATTGCGATTCATGTGTTTTGTATATTAAAACAGCACAACAAAACATTTCACTTTGGGTCAATACAGGTGAAATGGGCAATGACAAAATGTGTCCGAAATCAAGCTAAAACATTTGGTTAATTAAATGAATCCCCTTTGGCTGCTAACAATACACTATGGTTAAAACGGAGCATAATTTAAATAGGATCAGGCACGGATGGAGAACATAAATACAGAAAACTGGTTCCTTTTACTTCTTAAAACATAATGTTTTGTGATTAGCGACAGGTATTCATTTAGTTTTGCCTGTTTAGTAACTAGTATATGATCAATTGATACTATAGACAATAGACAAAAACATTGGTTTCAGCTAAAAATAAACTTTAATATTGTTTATTTTCATCACCAAATGTACAATTGTGTATGAACTAAGTTGTAAATGTATATTTTATTTTCACAGACTTCAATATTATTATTGTTTTAAACAATCAATCCAGTAGGGGGCACAAAAGATTACTTGAAATCAATATACGTCCCCCTTATATTTAACTTTTTATTTATATACAAACAGTAATGTTTGGCAAATATAGATGGAGTAAGACATACTGACATCCTAGCATTCACCTAAAATAATTAGCAATTTTTTTTAATGTTGTTAACTGCATATATACACGATCAGTACAGTTTTGCAATGTGCAATCATTAAAAAAAAATACATCAGGATTATTTACACCCAGAAGTTATTTTGTTTTTTAGATGACACACAAACTGAACGACACAGAATAAAAACCTTTTTTAAAGTTTTTATTGAATAATAAAATATTGAAGTCTCTGACAGCAAGGAGTGTAGTTCAAACATATTACAACTTTCTAATCAATATTATTTATAGTTTTTTTAATCGTTTAAATTAAGACCGAAAGCATATGTAAAATAATTAAATAAAACGTATGTGCTATGAATGTAACGTTAGTATATAACGTGCACACGTAACGTAAGATAAATAACGTAAACCAGAAGCTAACGCAGCTAATTCATTCTGCTCAATTCAGCGACCTCAAACACTGGAATAGGTACTTTTAATGACCATATCATTAAAAAAAACATTAATATATTATACCAAAGAACATTTCAACAAACATAAACGGCCATAATAAAAGGTAGGTTTGAATATATCTGAAGCGATACAGACCGGTGTATTAGAGCATTAATAACAAACACATAAATGGCGGTTATTTTCAAATGGTGAATAAATATTACTGTAAAGAAATGGGACAGTGTGTTGGTAAAATATTAAACACTGTCGCCCATTCAACTTCTTAATGATCACAATCATTGAGATAAGCGCTAAACATCTAAAATGCTCTTTTAGATAAAATGTAAGCGAGCACCGTTGTTGACTGAGAATAAAGCGATATAAACACTCGACTGATCGATAACATTGCTAAGCTAATGCGATATAATACATGCATTCAAAATCCGATTCCGCGATCGAGCATATAGACACAAGCTATCAAGCACTGAAATCCCATTTAGCATCTGGACAAAAAACATAAGCGATTCGATTGCACATCTAAATTCAGTACGTTAGGCCAAAGGCCCGCGCCTGCGCCATGATTCTTTTTTTGCCCCAAATTGAGCGGGGTAAATAATAATTGCCATCCGGGCAAAAGTGCTCGAAATCATCTGCAGTTCTGTTTCGCATCGTCGCGATCTGCATCTGAGTGTGTGAAAGGCAAACGCTGCCGGGTTGTTTGGTGCGGCTGCGCCAGGGCTGAAATGGCTGGAGATTGCGCGGTAGGGCACTAACCTCAGAGCGGCTGCGCTACTTCGGGCCTGCGCGGTGCGGCGGAGCTGTGAACACCAGCTGCAATGGAGGACAAAGAACGAGCAGCAGAGTGCGCGCGTCCTGGGCTCAGCGACTGATGCGCGGTCACGAGCGAAGTGCACAGAACAAACCCCGCCCCTCCCTCTCGTGCTACACACTACTACGTGATGCAGCAGCAGCAAGTGCACACTACACTCACAGAGAGTGAGGGAATGGGTGTGGGAATGCGACATTTCCATGGCACCGATTTTTTTTTGTTTTTAACAATAATATTAATAACAATATGATAATTATATGTAATTAGATATAGAAAGATTTCATATATAAAGTTTTTGAGTCGCAACAGACTATACAAAACACCTCTAAGCTAAAATGTATAATTTAAAAAAGCTTTAAAGGTTATAGATGTTTGAATAAAGGCCTAATTTATCACTTATTAAAGAACTATATTATCAATTAGTCTAAAATGTCCATTGGAAAATATTTAAATTAGATAAAGTTACATTATTATATCTTTCCTTTGCATTATAATTGCCCATACTGCATTTACAGCATTTCATTTGTTTTATTCATATGTTCATTCGTTTATTCTTTTACAAGTTTAGGTTTTTCAAAATTTTACTTAATCTTTGTGTTTGTAATTTTTATTTATTCATTCATTTTCCTATATTGATCTGGGGTCACCACATGAACCACCAACTTATCCAGCATATGTTTTACACAGCAGATGCCCTTCCAGCTGCAACCCAGTACACGGAAACATCCATACACACTCATTCAAGCAGATACACTATGGCCAATTTATAATTAAATTCACCTACTGCATGCCTTTGAACTGTGGGTGAAACGGAGCAACACAGAGGAAATCCATGCAAACATGGGAAGAAATGCCATCCACATAGAAATGCCTACTGACCCAGCCAGGACTCAAACCAGTGACCTTCTTGCTGTGAGGCGAGTCACTGAGCCACAGTGCCACAGTGTTATTATTTTAACTGAATATTACTTTTATGAATTTGTTTGATTAGTATATTTTATTTATTTCAATGCTTTTTTCATATTTTTTTTCACAGACCACTATAGTAATCTCTTGTGGCTCACTGGGGTTCCTGAGCCAAAGTTTGAAAACAGGTTTGTGTTTAATTACAAAATAATTTCTCACAAATAATGTTTAATGTTTTTATTTAATTTTTAATATTTTTATTTAATTTATTGTTTTTATGGCAAAATTATGTGCGCATATATATATATATATATATTGCTTTGTCATATTTATTTTCTGTTAAAAGGAAACATGATAAAATAATATAATATAATATAATATAATATAATATAATATAGTATAATATAATATAATATAACATAACATAACATAACATAATATAATATAATATAACATAACATAACATAACATAACATAATATAATATAATATAATATAATATAATATAATATAATATAATATAATATAATATAATACTTCATGCTGTTTACAATATAATGTAGGGAACAGGGTTGCACAGTACTATAGTAGTACCGGAATACCTTGGCTTCAAAATATGGGTGGTGCTATTGTAGTTTTCAAATAGTAGTATCGTTATTAACAGTTCTACAATAGTTAATGTTGCTTGAGGAATAAATGAATGAATCAATGATTTTATTTATTATATTATTATTATTATTATTATTATTGCAATAACAACAAAAGAATCAAAGTATACAAAAACAAGAATGTCTGTGCAAATAATACTTTTTTTTCAATAATGAGGGAATTATTAATTAAATGTGCATATTTTATCATAGAAAATATAGTATTTCTCACAATTTGCTTCATTTCATATATTTTAATTATGAATTAATACAGTATCGCAATACTACCTGTATTGTGATACTTCAGTTTGTGTACTTCAGGACTACCCTGGTAGAAAATAACAAAAACAAATATATACATGTAAAACAAATAAACAAATTTTATATTAATTAGTTAAATTACCAAATTAATCAAATAAAAAAATCAACTAATGTATTCTTCTTCTTCTTCTTCTTCTTCTTCTTCTTCTTCTTCTTCTTATTATTATTATTATTATTATGCTTATGATTATTATTATTTTAATTCATTGCAAATTATACTGACATACTGCAAATTATACTGACATATATATATATATATATATATATATATATATATATATATATATATATATATATATATATATATATATATATATATATATATATATATATATATATATGTATGTGTGTGTTGCCAGAATGCTTCATTTGAGTGGTCTATTCAAGTGCCTGGATTTACAAGACAGCAATTAAAAAATTCACATGTAAATGTATAACAGTTTTTCAATTGTCAATATTATATTATATTATATTATATTATATTATATTATATTATATTATATTATATTATATTATATTATATTATATTATATTATATTATATTATTTGGAAAAATGTATTCATTTTGTATTGCTAATAGCCATGTTATGACAAAAAAAGTTGTAATGTCTGATTAATTAATAGATATTAAATGGCAAAAAATGTACACCAACTTAACTGCACTGTCTTAAACTATTCCCATGACTTAATATACGAGACATATTTCAAATTCTGAATAAAAATAATACAAAAGAAAAGTCTTCCAATAATCAAACCGCTAACACCTGTTTCCCATTATGTCTTAATTAATCTTTTGCGCTGTAGGACACGCGTGATGGAAAGGGCAAAGACGCAATTGGATTCGCATGCTTTGAGTTATCTATAAAAAAAACTTGAGTTTGGTGAGTATTTTTGACTATTTTCGTTCAAATGTTTGTGCCTTTGCATATATCACATGTTAAGTACAAAACAATAGGGTAATAAAGCCACTTTGAATGTATTATCGTACAGTAATCGTTTGGTGCAGAAGCAGGACGATTTTAAGAAAGTTCACGTCTGTTTATTAAATGTTAAAAGCGTCCAAAAGAGGGCAATATGGTATTAGAAATGTTTCACCACGTCTGTTTGACCTACAAATATCGCTAGATGGCAGAAAATGATCGTTTTAAAACTGCTAAGTAACATGAACTACTGATGCAGCTCACGATTGTAATGACAACACTGCATGCGTTAGTTTGTCTAACCAAATGTTAAATCATCCCAAAAAAACAAAACAGCTTTTGCGACTGTACAACAGTACTATTGTCTGCGTTTAATCCATTAATACAAGCTCTGTATCAAAAATAATTTTTAATCACTAGGGAAATTGTGTAATGGATAATTCCCCTCCATTAGCCTGGCATCTTTTGCTGTTGGCATGAAGACCTGAAGTGCACTTTAGTTTATTGCCTAAAACTTTACCTTAAAGGTTGTTTATGCCAGCCTAAATCTTAACCATTATGGCAAAGTGACTGCAGGCCCATGCGGCAATACGCAGAGCAAATTCCCAGGTGATAAAGAGACAGTCTTTAGAGGTTTCACAATCTGTGATCTATCTTCACTGTGCTGCCCTGCTGGGGAGAACCGATAAGGTTTCAGAGGAGTTCAATAATTCTCTTAATTGATTGTCTGGAAGTGAAGATAATTCATGGTAATTGTCAGGCTAGTGAGGAGCTCATGAGTTGAAGTCACCGAGGGAGGAATAATGGACACTTCACTCACTTACATGACAAAGATTGTCAAGAAGACAACCAGTCACAGTTTGTTTTGGTTTGAGTTAAACAGACAATATGTTATGTTATAGCAAATCGTGAAAGAAAAACAAGTTGTGCTTTGCTTATTATATATAATGCCATAAATTTCATTCTAAAATTATAATTTTTCTCAGACTCCTATGTCTAGGTTCAGTAATTTCACGTTTTAGGCAAAGATTTGGTTATTTGTTATCACCTTTAACATTAAATAACTGAACAATAACAGAAAGGGCTGAGATAAATGCTCGTTATAAAAGAAAATTACAGATGGCACTGCATCTGAGCTCTTCATATACAGAATATTGTATGTTTTATTTTTAATAAATAAATGAATGTATATTATGTCCATGCCTAAAATCTAATATTTGAGAAAAAAAGTCAGTCTATTTGTGAGTAATAATAAAAATTAATAACAAGTATTGAAGAAAATTCCATTAATGCATTTATTTATAAATACTTTATTGAAATGTTTTGTTAAAAAGTACTTTGAATAAATACAGATTTTTTAAAGATGTAAATTTAAATTTAAAGCTTACATTTTTCTGTTGTAATTCTAATTAAGATTCCTAAAATAGATGGTTCATTAAAAGTTCTTTTTACATAATAGTTCTATATAACCATGGCAAGCCGTTTTGACATTAAATCAATAACCCTTATGATCTATTAAGTACTAGTACCTATTCAGTAGATAGTGCTTATTCATTAGATACTACTTATTCATTAGATACTAGTGCTTATTAATTATATAGTGCCTATTTTTTTAAGATACAGTTGATATTTGAAGCAGTTGACGTTCAATATTTATGTTATGATGAAATATTTGTATAATTTTTTTCAGAACAATTATTTTAAAATACAGTCACTGCCAAAACGTATTAAAGCAGAAGTATGAGAATCCTGTGTGGCTTCAAATAGTGGTTTTAGGGGTCCTTGAGTCAAAAATGTGGGTGTTGTAAAAAAGTAAACTTTTAAAATTTAAGGCAACAAACTTCAGGATATTTTTTTAGTTTACTCAATTTAAATAAAGTCAAGTGCGGTAATTGGGTTTAAAGTTAATTAAAAAATGTCTTGAAGTTTGTTGCCTTAAGTTGAGTCAACTTTTTACAGTCTTAAACAATGCTTATAAAATTTCATAATTCCATGTTCCTTTAAGCACTTTTTCTTTGACCTTAAGTTCAACTAATCTGTGAGTTGAACAATCAAATGAAAAGACTGTTTGCATTATTGACTCACAAAATGTGGGCATCCCCAAACGAGACATCTAGTGTGATCTTTGCCATGCACAGTCAGACAGGCCTTATCTGTGGTTGGAAACGAAGGAATGAAGCCAGAAATAGCCCAAGCCCTTTAACCATGAATAGAGGCTTGTATAATTTATTCCAGCTGTAATCAGAG